TTCAACTCCCAGAATTCCCCAGCCGGCTGGGGAATTCTGGGAGTTGAAGTCCACCCGTCTTAAAGCCGCCAAGGATGAGAAACACTGCTCTACAGATCTAAATGTAAGAAATAAATCAGAAACAAACAATAAAGAGAATGTCTCCTCTAGGAGGTCCCTTGAATTTTCACCTTAATTTTTTTTTAAAAAAATCTCTTAAAATCCCCTTGACTCGTGGAAATCGGAGAGGCAAATAAACAGAAACCTATCGTTCAAGCACGTTCTCTCAGAGCTGAAACCTGAAATAGCTTTACGTACGGACACCCCGGCTTTAAATCCGTGCTCTTCTCGAACGTTACGCATGCCTGCCGGTGACAAATCGCTCTGTGCATCTTCCCAAACCCCTCGCGGCGAAATGTGGTTGCTTCACGAAGCAGGAGGGGAATTCCAGGAATGAAACATGCCTTATCCTACTTCCTTAAGAACCCGTCCGCCTCGAGGAAACCAGTTTTCGCGGTCTGTTCTGTAGGGCTAGAGAGGGAGACAAAATAGGACTTATTAGAGCTACCTGTATTTGACTGTAAACCTCGTTTGCCCCGGCGTTCTGTTTCCAGCGTGGGAGTTTGCCTACAAGCAAACTCTAACTGCTTCATCCAGTTCTTCATCCACTCAATAATTAAATATATGCTGCTTCTGAGCCTAGAGGACAGATTTGGGCCCGTAAAGTCTTTGCTGCTTCATCCTCTTTGACCCTCCGAGCTGGAAACAGACAGGGCTGTTCCTTCCCATTTGGGGTTGGGAAAGGCATGACCGGGGTCATCTAAAATAAGAAATCGGAGTTATAACAGGGAAAAAGTCCCAAACTCTCTCTGAAAACCGCATCCGACCCCACAGGCAGGAGGTTGGCGCTTTCCCGGGGTGCAGACTTCCATTCCCAGAATTCCCCAGCCAGCAGGAGCTGCTGCTGAGAATTCTGGGAGCTTCGATTTTTGCTAGTGCGAAATCAAGGGCTGCGCCGAGGCTTTGGAGAACAGCTCTCCCAGTCCCCCGCTGCTGGCTCTGCCAGCTGGGGCTGATGGGCGTTGGAGTCCTGGCGGCAGCTGGGAACAGCAGCTCTCGGGTGGTGGTTTGCGCTCGAGTGGGTTAACGTGCCTGCATTCACTCTGTCCTGCAGGAAGCATTGAGTACAGCTGCCCGGCCACCAACGAATGTGAAATAACCAAGCGTCGCCGGAAAGCGTGCCAGGCGTGCCGTTTCACCAAGTGCCTGCGTGTGGGAATGCTGAAAGAAGGTAGTGCTTTGGGGAAAGGGGCTGTTCAGTCTCAGCGGAGCGACTGGGTGCGGAACGGAAAAGTCCATTGCCGAACTTCAGCTCCCAGCGTTCCTAGGAATTGCGGCCAATAGTGGAGGATGCTGGGAGTCGTAGTTCAGTAACACCTGGAAGACCACCGGTTGCCCGGATCAGTTCTGGGAGGCAGATATGAAAAAGATGGATAGATTTTTAATCCACTTTGCCTAAGTGGATTAACCTGCTTTAGACCAAGATATAATCTTTGGCCCGTTAAAGCTGTTCTTTGCTTAACCGTGATGCGGAATGAGCTTTAGATTCCCTGGGTTCCCGCCTGAGACCAAACCAGAACCATGCTAGCCATCTTACGGCTTAAAGCCGGGCGTGGATCACGGCACAGTCTTCTAAGGAAGCCAAATGGTGGCTTGTTCGACCAATTCCTTGTTGGGGTTTTCCATTTTTCCAACCAAGATGTCGAAGAGATAGAACGTAAAACCAGAGGAGTAAGCCAAGATTCAGGTTTTAAAAGTAGGGACAAGCCGTGTTTGAAACAAGCTAGGTTTTGTAAGCCAACCACGTATCACGGTTCAGACTGTGATTGATTGTTCTTTTAAAAACAGTTCCCTGCTTAAAATGAACGTGCATATTGTTGGAAGCTGAACATTAAATTAACCACTTAAGTGTTATGTTTGAGCTGGGGCGTATAATGGGTTTAAATTTACACAAGGGTCACTTTTGACTGAGGATTAAAAGAAAAATTTTGACAGTAAAAGCACTTTAGCACGAGAACCAAGTACCGATTGGTAAGGAAGTTGAATTAATTCTGTGTTGGAAACCCAAGTCTGCTTTGTTAGAAACGCTGCAGATTTTTTCCCCCAACTTTAAGCAAAAACTTGGGAGACAAAACCTTTTAATATTAATTATACTGATATTTGCAACTTTTCCCCATTTGGCACCTGCAGGATCTTTTTGCCGTCAGCTTCTATCATTCCAGCCAGCATGGCTATTAGATAATGGGAATTATTTTAATCCGGAGGTACTCAGGTGGGAAGGGATATACAAGACGATTCGAAGAGCCATAGATGTGGATGCAGTAAGATTAAAAGGTGGCTTCTTTAATCATGGTTTACTACTGTAGCTGAGTTAATATAAGCTAGTCTGTTGCTTTCTTAAGATGCAGGTCCTCCTCCTCCTCTTCCAACAGTGGATTTCATAGGTCCATCTTTCCATCAGCCTTCCCAGCCATGGCTTTCCAGGCAGCTGCTGAAGCCCCACTTCCATCCTCCCCACCCGGCACGGGTGGGGACGATGGGAGTTGTAATTCAACCACCCCAGTTCGTCTCATTTTGGTGAACAAGGGGGAAAACGTTGGCGAGTGGGTTTTCACAGGCTGCAGAGTTTTCACGCACGGCCTCTGCTTTTGCTTCAGGGGGATGCTGAATTCTGAAGACAGTGCCTCTGAGCATAAGGGGAGTTATTTTTGCCTCCGTGCCATCCTTAAATCCCAGTTGGGGGCGGGGGGAGGCTACGTTTGGACTGTTTGAGAAAATCATTAGCGATGGATGAAGCTACACATTTCCCTCCCAGTGATCTACTTGCTTTCTTTCTTCCCCCCCCTGCCAATTTTCAGGGGTACGCCTCGATCGGGTACGTGGAGGTCGACAGAAATACAAGCGCCGGCCAGAGGTGGAGGGTGCCCCCTACCCCAGCACTTTTGTGACCCCGCAGATCGCCACAGCTACCGCCAAGAAGTCAGGTGAGTTCCTTGGGCCGCTGGATCTCACCCATAATTTGGGGTGGGGGGTCCAGAGGCGTCTGTTTTGGCCAGACTCCTTCCAAATTCCAGTTCTTGAGATGATCGGACGCTGCAAGAAGACGCCCCTTTGCTCCCTCCTGACATGACATTGCTGGCCAGACTCTGAAGTTGGCCCTTCCCTTGGCCAGCTTCAGACAGCCAAGCCATCGTTCTCTTAACCAGGATGGGCTGGCACCCACGCTAAGCCACCCCAGGATCTGGGTGATCCTGGCCAATATGTTCTTGCCTTGGAAAGGCTGGGATGGTACCTAAATGAAGCCTGGAGGAGAATAGAAAAATGAGAGAAAGGTTGTCAGGGGGAAACGATTCCTTAAATGATTCCCATTGGCGTGGCAACTTGGCTGGCATGACCCCAGAAAAGGGGGAAATTTGCCAAGGGTAGGATTGAAAGGGTTCCTAGAGAAGGGGGCTGCATCGCTGGCTCCCCCCTCCCCGTATAAATCCATCTTTACGATGCAAGGGAATACAGAAATGCAAGCTCGCAACGGAGAGAGCAAAGTCCAAGGATTTCTGGAGATGCTGGTGTCCTACAAGGAGGTGTCACTTGTGGCCTTTTCAACCTGGGGTGAGGAACACCGGTTGTGTTTTTGGCACCCCCCTTTCATCTTAAGTCACACAAACCCAGGTTGGTTGTAGCCTACCATTTTTCTCAGGGTAGAGAGGGGGTCAACTTGTGACAAAGATGGAGGGCTGAATGAAGCAAGCCATGATTCCCAGGGATAGCCTGGAAGGAGAACATTCAAGCTAGAAGAGACTTGCCCCTTGCCCTGGCCTGTTGGTCATCTAGTTGCCGACCCTGGCAATAAGGAACGCGCGCGGGTGGCGTTGTGTGGAGAGGAAGGAAGATGGAGCGATTGTCTGGGGCTAAGGGTCCCTTCCTTTCTCTTCTTTCCAATCCAGCGCCGATGAACACGATGGTGTCGCACTTGCTGGTAGCCGAGCCGGAGAAACTCTATGCCATGCCTGACCCAGCGCTTCCCGAAGGGCCTGCCAAAGCTGCTAGCACGTTGTGTGATCTGGCAGACCGGGAAATCGTAGTCATCATTGGTTGGGCCAAAAATATACCAGGTAAGGCATGGAATTTGCCCCCTGCCCTCGGCTTTCTGCCCACTGCTGTCTTTTCTGGGGTCCTCTGTTTTCCTAGACCAGCCGTCCCACTGACTTGGGACTTCAACTCCCAGAATCCCCCACCAACGTGGGCCTTTTAGGTCTGTTTTCCTAGACCAGCCATCCCACTGACTTGGGACTTCAACTCCCAGAATCTCCCACCAGCGTGGCCCTGTTAGGTCTGTTTTCCTAGACCAACCATCCCGCTGACTTGGGACTTCAACTCCCAGAATCCCCCGCCAACGTGGGCCTTTTAGGTCTGTTTTCCTAGACCAGCCCTCGCTCTGACTTGGGACTTCAACTCCCAGAATCCCCCGCCAACGTGGGCCTTTTAGGTCTGTTTTCCTAGACCAGCCATCCCACTGACTTGGGACTTCAACTCCCAGAATCTCCCACCAGCGTGGCCCTGTTAGGTCTGTTTTCCTAGACCAACCATCCCGCTGACTTGGGACTTCAACTCCCAGAATCCCCCACCAACGTGGCCCTGTTAATGGAGGATTCTGGGAGTTGAAATCCCAACCCAACTGGAAGGGCAACCCATGGGGGAAAGCTAGTCAAAAATTAGTTATTTTAGCCCCTGAGGATGCTTTTAGTTTGTCTGTATCATCCTAGCAAGTTTTTTTTCCTTGGGTTAATTTAAAATACACACACACACACACACACACAATTTTACACAACGCTGGAGATTTTGTTTCAGGTGCACTGCAGAAGTAAAATTAAAGAGCGTAACATAACTTCCCCAGTTTTAGGTATGTTCCCTCTGTGCTCGTTTTATTTATTTATCGCCTCTGGCCCTGCTGTTCTTCTAAGCAGCGCAGAACAGCATACCCAGATCTCCCCCACCCATCTGACCTTTACAAAAAAGCCATTAAAGTAGTGAGAAGTTGTGCAAACCCCAGGAAACTTTGGTCGGGTTTCATCATATTTCCTAATGATTCAGTTTCATCGGCTCTTGCAGATCTTGCCCTCTCAAAGAGCATTCCGTAAGAAGCTTTGTCTTTCTGGCACACGCAACCCTGTTTTAATCACGTGCAACTTAAAATAAGAAAAGAAAAACCAAGATGTTACTTAGAACTACCCTTGGGTGGTGGCTTATAGGCGATTTGCCCTCGCCTTAGGCGATCGGGCAAATGTCTTCCTCTGAATTCATGCCCCTTCCTGGTTTGCTTCCTCTGGTTTAGGATTCCCAGCGTTATCCTTGGCAGACCAGATGTCTGTCCTGCAGAGCGTCTGGCTGGAAGTTTTGCTCCTTGGAGTAGCCTGGCGCTCGCTGCCTTGCGAAGACGAGATTGTCTTTGCAGAAGACTTTGCGCTCGACGAAGAGGCCGCCCGGACGGCAGGGCTGCTGGAGCTGAGCAGCGTGGTCCTGCAGCTGGTGCGCAAGTACCGTGCCCTGCGCTTGGAGCGCGAGGAATATGTGCTGCTCAAGGCATTGGCCCTTGCCAACTCAGGTGAGCTCCGAGGAGCTGCAGGGGTGTCAGGAAGGGAGGAGGCCATGTCCCAAAGTTACACCAAACTTACAGAATTGAGGACCCGCAGATGGAAGCAGCGCTTAATGTGTCAGTCTCTGCAATTAGAGAACCTAATTCCTCATTTTTATAAGCTCCAGATTACGTAGCCCAGGGTTTCTCAACGGTGGGATCTTCCAGGGGGTGTGGACTTCAACTCCCAGAGTTCTCATCCATGGCCGTGCTGGCTGTGGATTTCTGGGATTTGAAGTCTGCACGCCTGAAAATGGCCCCCGTTGGGCATCATTGATGTAGCCTATTCCAGTTCAGTTTATACTGGAGAAACAGAGAGATCCAAGCAAAGCGCGTCCCAAAGATTTTCCAAAGGGCTACTGAGCTGCTGAATTGAACATGGCTTCAGGTACTGACGGCGAGCGGAGGTTTATAAAAATCAACCAGGAAAGCTATAATATACAAAGGAAAATAAACGGAAAAACAGTGTTTGGAAAAGTAGATCACAGTTAGTCTGGTTGGAGAGACAGCCTGAAACATTTGAAATCTTCTGTCTTCATTCATCCCTATCCCACTTTTGAGGCTCCTGGGAGAAGTTAACCCTCTGGCTTCAGATCAGAAAATTGTGCCTTTTTAAAATGTTTCCTTGACATCTATTTATAGCCTTTTTGCTGTCCTGTGGGATGATTCTTTCTTGCCAGAACAATCCACTGTCGGAGGTTGATGAAATACAAAGCAGGAATGCTTTTGCACGGCGAATCATGTCCAGTGTTTCCCAACCTCAGCAACTTGAAGATGTGCGGGCATCAGCTCCCAGAATTCCCCAACCAGCGTGTGCAGACTTCAACTCCCAGAACTGGAATTGCTGGGGAGCATGCTGGCTAGGGAGTTTTGGGAGTTGAAGTCCACATGCTGGCTGGGGAATTCTGGGAGTTGAAGTCCACACGTCTTCAAGTTGCTGAGGTTGAGAAATACTGATTGAACTTCTTGATCTGTCCCCAATGTTTGCTTTTAGTCTTAAGGTCTGCATAAACCTTGTCGGCTTCCATGCCTGGTTTTACCTGACTCTTTGGAGCATTTGGGTTGGTCCCAACAAGACAGTGACTTTTCCATTTTGGTTGATTTCCTTCTTCCTCTTAAGAAGTCAGCGTGGCTCCTTGCAATTTTTCCATACATGCTTTGACTCGCTTGCGAAAGCAGGCTTTGGCTATTTCTTCAGCAATCTGGCTCTGCGCCATGCTCCTTTGCCAACACTTTTCTCCCGGGTTGAATTTCTGCCTGAAATTCAGAGCAGCAGAATTCCCCGCCACCCTGCACCAAGATGTTATTTTCTGAACTCGCATAGCATTCTTTTTGATGGTGTATCTTTTCAACATAATTTTAGGCTTCTTTAAAATGCTCCTCTGAATTCAAGGGGGGAGGGCATTGAGCTCCTCAGCTGGACATGGCTCCCCCATCTTCTTTATGGCCCATGGCGTTCTTTCTAGTCACATTGCCACATTTCAGGAGTGCGATGACTAAAAATTGGCAGTGGAATTTCCATCCACATTTTGCTGGGAAGTAAATTCAGTGGGAATAGTGAAAGCCTTTTAAAAATGGGAGGGGGGGGGAGAAGAAGACCTCTCCCTGTTGCCATCTTCTAAAATAGTGAGAAAAAATGGAGATCTCAGCTAAGCCTGTGTGTGATCTCCAGATCGTTAGTCCACGGCAATCCAACTGGGCTTTAGTTTCATGGCATATTTTTGGAAGAGCTTCTTTTAGATCCGTGTTTTTCCAAGTCGG